TATATTTCACATCACCTAAAATAATAATGTATTATGTCATCAAGTGATAACATGACATTTGTAATGTCACCAATTAAATAAATATGAAAATATCATGTGTTGATTATTAGTTAATTAAAAAATTACATTCATCAATATTATTTTAATTAAAATACTAAAAAGAGATAAAATAATTATATCATTATTGACTATATTTGATGTATTAAGTCCGTTTGGTTTTATAAAATATTTTTTTTTTTTATTTCAAAAACAATTTTCATTTTTCAGTTTTTCAAAAAAATATAAAACACGTTTGTTATAGAAATAAACTTATTTTCAAAAAAAAAATAATGAAAATGTTCGGTACCCAATTTTCTAAAATGAAAAAAATAAATAATTATTAAATAATTAAAGTAAATATAAATATTAGAAAAATATAGTATCGACAATAATAATATAATATAATTAAATAAATGAAAGTTTGAAATTAATAAACAAATTTATTAAAAAATCATTAAATGTGATATAAAAGAAATAGCTATTATCACTTCATAACGAATACTGTTTTTTTTTTATTTTAATTAATTGTATAATTAATCTATAATGATGTAGCAATAACAATAAAAAAACTAAATAAGAAATAATAAATTTCATACGAAGTTAGTTATTTATCTAGCAAATATAAAATCATCAGATCAACAACTACTCGTAATTTATATGCTTTAAGATAATTGATATTTAAATACTAAAATAAACGGTTAAAAAGTAATTAAAGAAAGATACTTTTATTAGGATTTGAAGTTGTACTAAAGTAAAATAATTAAATCTGAATTAAATAAAAAGATATTATTAGAACTTTAACTCGTATAATTAAATTAATTTAAAAGTAACTATACAAATATTTTAATTCCATTCGATGCAAAGAACAATTAATAGGTAGAAAATATTTTAATTTTTTTTCAAATCAAGTGTTAGTAACCCAGAAAGATAGTAATTACTTTCGATGTAAAGAACAATTTTACATAAATTTGATCATTGCTTAAGTCTAGTATGACTATAACGCTTAAAACATATAAATTTTTGTTAGAATAATATTACCTTAAAGTAAGAATTGTAAAAAGATTCTCCAATTATATCATAAATTTAGCAAAACAATAACATTGGTGCTGTAGAAAATTCTCAAAGTAGGAGTTCCAAGTGACGAGAGGAACACAACTTTGAAGGTTTTAGAGTCGATTCTGTTATTGAAGCTTAGATTTTACAAAGCATTGATGTCTTTTGATTAATTGCAAAGATAAACATGAATACTTTATTTTCGGTGTAAGTCAAAACGTGAAACATAATTTTTTATTCTTTTAAATTTTGAAAACAATTTTTAAGAAAAACACTGAAAACACCATTTATATAATTTAAAATTTTTTATTTATTTTTTTTAAAAAAAAATTAATTTTTAATTTGACCATCAAACACATTTTTTTCAAACATATATTTATTTTTCTAAGAAAATAAAAATAACTTATATTACCTTAAATCAAACGAACCCATTTCCATTAGTCGGGTTCTGTGATTTGTAATTAACCCAAGGATGAAAAACCTGTCTCGTGAAGCAGCAGGTAAAATAAATAAAATCAAAATATTAAAATAAATAAATTATTAATTAATTAATAAAAAAAGTAAATAAGTACGAGTCCTTTCCCCTCATTTACTTTCTTTTTCATTCAAATCTCTCTCTCTGTAAAACCCTCGAAAATTCACATTCATTCTTTGCTTCTTACTTTATATCACGAGATCCCCATCTCTTTGTTTTCTTTCCTTTCGTTTTCTCTCTCTTAGATCTCTCTTCTTCTTCCAAGTCTTTTCTTCTTCTTCTTTTCTTCTCCAAGAACCGTCCTTTCCCACATTCACTTCAACGAGCTCTTCCTTTTCCCACTTACATTACTCATAAATCACCCCAAAGGGAAAGAGAGAAGAGAGAGGGGAAGGGGAAGGAATTTGGAGTGACCCCATTTCTTTTTTTGTTAGTGAGAGGAGAAAAGAGGAAACGAAATGTCGCATCTTGGTGGAAAGCCAGTGCCTGAGTTAGGCCGGGATTTTGATAAACTTGCCGATCAAATACGTGACTCACTGAGTTACGATGATAACAAGCCCGATTTCCGTGAACTCGATCTGGGTTCACCCGTGTCTCCGCTTCGAACCGGGCAACAGAGTCTAACCATGATGACCACCACCACCACTACGACGACGAGTTCCAGTTCCAGTTCGTCCAGATCCGTTTCTGGTTGGAACTCGTCTAACGCGACCGCTAGGAGATCTGAATCGGGTCGGCACAACCACTCGGGTGAGCTTTCCGGCTTGAGTGAAACCAGCCCGACAGCTTCGACTGGGAATATAAACCGGTTCATACCAGATCCAAATCCAACACTGCCACGACCCACCCGCTGATCTATTCGGGTCAGAGCACCGTCAACTCGCCCCCAGTCAACGTTCTTCCGACGGGAAACATATGCCCCTCGGGGAAAATTATTAAAACCGGCATGTCGGTGAACCGAGGCTCCAGAACTGACGTTTTAGGCTCTGGGTCGGGTAATTATGGCCATGGCAGCATAATGCGGGGCGGGGGAGTGGGAACTGTACCCGTTACAGCCTCCAAGGTGGTGCCTTTGAACCCAGTAACACCCTTGGAATCCGGGGGAATGCGAGTGATTTAACGAGGAAAGCAATGGGGAACTCGGAACCTGAGGAAGTTAAGAGAGTCGGGAATGAGATGTACAAAAAAGGACATTTTTTGAAGGCGTTGAGTTTATGATAAGGCTATAGCTTTGTCACCGGGGAATGCGGCTTACCGGAGTAACAGAGCGGCTGCATTGACGGCTTTAGGGAGAGTAGGAGAGGCCGTAAAGGAATGTGAAGAAGCTGTTAGAATGGATCCTAATTATGGGAGGGCTCATCAGAGACTAGCTTCATTGTTGTTAAGGTGAAAAGAACAATGATTACATATACACATTGACATATTTGGTGTTATTTCTCTATCTGCATCGGTGATGGAAAGAGTGTCGGTGGGAACATTTTTGTTTAATTTTGTTGATTTTTTGGGTTAGTTATAGTCTTCCTGGTGTGTTGGATCTAGTTTCTGTATGTGAAAGGAGTGAATTTTCTTATGTTTGACTTGATGCTGTTGCAGAAATTTTGATCTGGTGAATGATTGTTAGATCCATTTATTCTTTTGATTGCTATATCTTCGCTATTCTGCACACTCGATTTTTTTCCTTTATGATCTGAATTTCTTAATATCTCATGTCTGTTCTGTGGGTTTCCTTTGTGTTAATGTGTTATATGGTTCTCATTGTGGTTTGTATTTATAAGACTAGCTTGGCTAGGATTACTCGTCTCCTTTTGAATATCTCGGAGCAGTCCGGTGAAATGTTAAGGATTGTGTCAAGTTTGCTCCAAATGATTGACTTCTTGAAAGGTATTTTAGAAGGATCCATTGTCAAAGGGTATTAGGTAGCCTGATGAATCTGATTCCTATGTTTCAATCTTCTGTGAAAATTAGACCCCATGTGTTTCGGTGTTTACTTTTATTGATTCCTGCCTTTTCTCATTTAATGATTGTAGGCATTTTGAAATCACTTCTTATTTCCCAGTATCAATCGAATGCTTACATTTTTAAGTTATTTCAATTGTATAAAATGTGCAAATATTTAGGTTGCTCCAATTTAACTCCGTTCAATTTCAGGGTAGGGCATGTTGAGAATGCTAGGAAGCACTTATGTTTTCCCGGGCAACCACAAGATCCGACAGAGTTGCAGAAGTTGCAGGCAGTGGAAAGGCATCTTAGCAAGTGTACAGACGCTCGGAGAATTAGGGACTGGAGAGGTGCATTAAGGGAAGCCGATGCTGCTATTGCTGCAGGTGCAGACTTTTCCCCTCGGGTAAAAATCTTGTCCTAAACTTCCCGTCTTTAAATTTTGAAGAATTTGTGCAGTTAACAGACATTGAAAATGGCTGAACTGGTTCACATTGAATTTACAGCTTTTTATGTGTAGAGTGGAAGCCCTTTTAAAACTGCATCAACTCGATGATGCTGAATCAAGCCTTTCTTTTGTTCCTAAATTAGAACAATGCATCAACTCCTCACAGACCAAGTACTTTGGGATGCTTGCTGAAGCTTATCTCTTTTTTGTCCAAGCACAAATGGAGATGGCACTAGGGAGGTTAGTTTTAAAAAATTTTACTAAGCTTCATCTGATATTGAGATGCCAGAGACATTGGGACCAGAATTTGAAAATTGATGATGGATGTATTGCAGGTTTGAGAATGCAGTTACAGCTGCTGAGAAGGCTAGGCAGGTTGATGCTCGAAATGTTGAAGTTTCTGTACTGCTTAGCAATGTGAGATTGGTTGCCAGAGCACGAACACGTGGGAATGATCTTTTCAAATCCGAAAGGTTCACTGAGGCCTGCTCAGCATATGGGGATGGCTTAGGCTTGATCCATCAAATTCTGTTCTTTATTGTAACAGAGCAGCATGTTGGTTTAAGCTTGGACGGTGGGAGTCTTCTGTTGAAGACTGCGATCAGGCTTTAAGTATCCAACCAAGCTACATAAAAGCCCTTCTTCGAAGGGCAGCGTCTAATAGCAAGGTAAGCAATTCTTTGAAGCTTTCTTTCATCGAGGACAAGCATCTTTATGTATAGGTGTACCTGAATTTGGTTGATTCATACTAATCATATGTCGTTGTGAACTACAGCTAGAGAGATGGGCTGAGGCTGTCCGAGATTATGAAGTTTTGAGAAGGGAACTACCGGATGACAATGAAGTTGCTGAATATCTTTATCATGCTCAAGTTGCATTGAAGAAATCCCGTGGTGAAGAGGTTTATAACATGAAGTTCGCGATATAGCAGTTAAGTCTTTATATAAAAATGAAGCTACATATATAGGCATTGGTGGAGAATAAATATTCAATTGCCATCTTTACTTGTAACATCTCACAAAAATTTAGAATACCTCAAAAGTACAGTTCGAATCTGAAGAGCCGGGCTCCATTTGTCTTTGAGAATGTCAAGGCATATTCTTCCAAGCTGCAAGAAAGCTCAATCCTTGTAAGACAATAAAATACATCTTTAATACCATAAAACAATGACAAAATAAGGGTAGAGCTGACTTTATCAATGTTAGGATGATATATCTTAGTAAGAAATCGAACCTGTTACACCGAATTTGTTAAGGTGGATAAAATATGACATACATCAGAAAGGGAAAAATATGATGGAAAAGTTCCGAGAATAGACTGAAGAACCGCGGCCAGCTAACAGTTCCATGAATGTACTACACATGAACCGTCAGTGCAGGTGAACCAAACAATGAAGTCCAATCACCAAAAAGGGCAGTGAGCAAGATAGAAGTGCAATCTTGGGAAACCAAACAATTAAGTACCAATCACAAGAAGATAATGAATCTCAAATGCCATTTATCAGCCAAACAGATTTTCAATTTAGAGAGCAAGCACAGATTAGATCATTACCACCAACAATAGTTGGTTCCTCGCAAGTCGCAACTAATCAAAGGCAATAGCATCCGCACGAAAAAAAATGTTCTTTGTACGTGAAAGTAAGACTTTCAAAGCTACCAAGTAGTAGTGGCTAAGGCAGTGATCATGTATGAACAAGGACTTTCAAAAGCCAGAGCATGTAACATTCTATTAAATGTTTAATTCCAACCAATATTTTCCTCTTAAATGTCATTAAAGCAAAATAATTATATAGAACCAAAGCTTCACCATATTGAAAGGAGAATAATACATATTTGCCATTCCAAAAACGAAGAATACAATGACCCGACACTACCAGAATGAAGATTATAAACCAACTGCAAACTATTAGAAATTCATACGACTATATATGAACTTCCCCAACTAGTTGGGAGAGAGTTTGATATTAGAAAGCTAAGAAGCTAAGAGATAAGAACGGTTGTAGTATAAAACAGTCCCACAAAGTAAAAGCAGCATTCTCTACTTGCAAACTGCAGCATCCCCAGTACACATTAAAGCCATATAACATTTTTAGCTGAAGCTAATCAATGTTGTACATCAAAAGAATAACGATCAAGCATACCCACAAGATACAGAAACATGAATTTCATGCTAAATATTAAGAATAACTCAATGTTGACTACCTTGGGAGCAGCCATGGGATATTCTTCAGGCAAAAACAGTTCCAACTTGAAACCCCTCCTAAACAAATAACAGACAAGAAAATGCATCATACCCTATAGTTAAATGTAAAATTAATTACAGAACGAAAAGAAAAGCAACAAGATATTACTAAACACAACTTTCCAAAACCAGACTAAGCACCGGATAAAACTGAATCGCATGCTAATTGGATTTAAATTTCAACATTGAAACATGGCCCTTTTTCTTTTTGAAAGATGGATAACGAAGGAGAAAAAATGAAAATTAAGTAATATAAACATCATATAACCAATTTCTCAAAAAAAATCTACTTTAAGCATATAGAGGCCATTTTAATGGCTGAATTTTGGCAATGCTGTCACTATTTATGTATTAAATCAGCCGAGACCCAACTATTATACAATCACTGCAAGATTTTACATTTCTAACACAGAATGCAGCCGCAACCATGAAATTAAAACTACCTTCATACGGAGACTGTTGGACCAAGGATCATCACATTGAAATATCGCATATTATCCTCAGATGGTGAGGCACTAATTCCAGGTGCTGTATTTAAAAAATAACAAAATTTACTTAATTGGAAAAGAAACACAGAAAATTAAACATTTTTCAGCTCATAACATTTAGAGTAAGCTAATAAACAATGATAGAAACAATAATTTAAAACAAAAGAAAAGGAGAAAACAATAGCGAATAATTTACCAGGTTCACTGAGGAGACGCTGAGTTTCCTGATTAGATCAAAGATTAAGAAACAAATTAAGCACGAAACATTTACAAAATTCACACAAGCAAACAAAGAAGACTTCATTTAATTTTCTGAAGCTTTAGATTCATTAAAGCACAAAACAATTTAGCTACCAAATCAAAATATAGAAACCCAGAAATGAACACGTAATTTTCCATTTTTTTAAAGATTTCCCGAGGTTTCTCATGTAGAAACGAGAAGGGTCAAAGTGAGATAGAAAGAGGAACCTTAATGATTCTTCGAGGGAGATTACTATTGGCCATTGGCGAGATCGATTGGAAGAAAAAAAAATTGAGGGTTCTTTGGGATTTAGAGATGGAGAGAGAAATTTTACGACTGGCTTTATTATTCAGATAATATAAATTATTTTATACTTTTATTTTAATTATAGTACTTTGAAATTTATTTATGAAAATAATATTTTTTACATATGTAAGATAGAGTATATATTCTCAAATCACGAATAAATGGTAAAAGAATTATTATTATTTCTTGATGTTTTGAATTCGAACATTATAAATGTTTATTTAAAATAAATAAAAGATGGAAATTTATAACTAAAATAGTTAACAATAAAATCGACAACAAAAATAACATATAAATACATAATTTTATAATAAATTCGAATTGAATATATTACGATAAAAATTAAAAATATTAGAAAACAACATAACATGCATTAAAAAAGATACAATCATAAAAGATATAACAAAATATGATTAAGTTGTATATATATATCAACCCTCATTGAAAAATAATAAATTCAGGTATATATGTAAAAGAAAATACACAATGATAAAAAAGCTTGTAAAAGAAGCAAAGATTATTTATGCAAGAAGCTTCAAGGGCATTACTTGTATTAAAAACATAACTTATTAATCAGTTTCAATGGAGTTCAACTCCAATCCATTTCATGGCAGTAATAAACCCTTGCCAATATATATATATATATATATTGAGTCTTAAGCACAGCAACATAATCATAGAGTTCAGAAGAGCTTTGTATATCCACTTCTTTTCTTCACCTATAAGAAAGGTTTACGCCGACATGACTTCAGTCTTTGATGAACGATTCATCTCCTCTTGACTTAAAACTATAAGCATGCATCGAGAAGTAGGTCGATTTAACCAGTGTTCTGCATGCCAGCAGCAATACCCTTCATGGTCAAGATGAGGGTATCCTCCAAACCTGGGGCATACTCGCTTGTTGGGTTCAGTTTCACGAGTTCATCAGCGGGTTTGCTTGATTCCATAATCTCTTTAGAGATATGTGGCCGCAATTTGACATTGTAGTTCGGATCGCGGATTCGTTTCAGTGTGTAGGCCTGGCAGACGTTTAGTGTGGTGATGTATGAATCACGTAACCTGAGTCTTTGCTTCAGGTAGGGATCGCCTTCAAGAAGATCTTTGTGCCCGGCAATCTGAAAACCGAAAGGAAAACAGAGTTAAGTTGGTCGAATTTTTGTTAACCGGAGGCATCGTATATGTGCTCAAGGCCAGGGTGTTTACCTGGAGGAGAAGGCTTTTAGTTTCTTCATAGTTAGTCCTCAATCGCTCTCCGAATGACCAGAGTTCTTCAGAAACGAGTAGCTTATCATATAAGGCTGCTATGCCAGGATCTCCTTTTGCGAAGACCATTTCGACCAAATCAATTGTCACCCTGAAGAAAGGCCATGCATTGTACATCTCCTGCAGCATATGGAGATTCCTAATGTCATTCTGAATGACATGTTTAAATGCCGCTCCAAAGCCGAGCCAAACAGGGAGATGAAATCTTGTCTGTGTCCAGGCAAAGATCCATGGGATTGCACGGAGAGATTCGATACCCCCGCTCGGCTTCCGCTTTGATGGTCGGCTACCAATATTCATTCTACCATACTCCAACTCTGGTGTAGCCTACACCCAAAGAAAAGGTACAAGTTATTCAATCCAAAACTGATTTAATTAACTTACTTGGATCACATGATAATGCAACTTCACTTACGAGGCGGAAATATTCAACAAATCGAGGTTCTTTGAAGACGATGGAACGGTACTCCTCTGTGGCAACAACGGCCATTTCATCCAACAATGCACGCCATTCTGGTTTCGGTGAGACTGGTGGGTGCATACCATGCTCAAGTGTGGCAGCAGTAAAACGCTGGAGTGTTCTAAAGCACAAGTGTTCCTCTCCAAATGATTGCTCGATAACTTCACCTTGAACCGTAACCCGAAGTGACCCGTGAATAGTTTCTGGTGGTTGAGATAATATAGCAAGATGAGTGGGACCACCTCCTCTACCAACAGTTCCACCACGACCATGGAACATTGTTAGCTTCACACCAAATTGCTTAGCAACCTTGATAAGCTCCTCTTGAGCTTTGTATAACTGCCAGGCAGCAGAGAGACGCCCAGCATCTTTACCTGAATCCGAATACCCAATCATAACTTCTTGTTTGCCATTGATACGATTCCTGTACCAATCTATCGAGAAGAGCCTAGCCAAGCAGCAGGTGCAGCCTCCAGATCTGCTAGCTTCTCAAACAGTGGAACAACTCTTAATGGTTGCTTCACATGGCATTCGCGCTGCAGGAGCTCAACCGCAAGAACATCAGAAGGGGCAGTTGCCATTGAAATAATGTATGCTCCAAAGTTGTCTGCCGGAAGCTCCGCTAGGACACTGAAAGTATCCAAAACATCAGCAATTTCTTCTGTTTTTGGAAGATCAGGACCAAACAATGGACGCTTTCCGCTTAGTTCAGCTAATAGCCATTCCTGCTTTTGTTCTTCAGACCAATCTCGGTAGAACCGATTTCCAAGTGCTTGGTAATGGCATCTAAGACATCTGTGTGGCGGTCAGACTCTTGTCGAATGTCAAGTCTAACAAGTGAGAGGCCGAAAGTTGATACTTGCCTCAAGAAGTCAAGAAGACTTCCATCAGCAATTGGCCGGTCACCACAAGAGCAAAGTGATCTATAGCATAGCTCAAGAGGTTCCAGAAACTGCAAAAAAAAGCCAGGAGTTAATTAGGGCAGACAATACAATGAGGACAGAGAAAGTGAAACGGAAGTTTTCAAACATCACTGTCCTAGCACATAAAGAAAAAGAAAGAGCACAACTACGAAACCGGATTTTCTGGATGCTGTCCATTTTGTAAGAAGGCTAGATATTAATCAAGGGCCGGACAATCTTAATAGTAAATCCGTATCTAACTCATGACAAGTAGGTGGAGTCCAAACTAATAATAAGACCATGATATAAGATAAACAGAGATAGACCTGATCAATGTTGGTGAAAGTTTCTTCCTCAGGAATCTCAGAGATACCATGAGACAACATTTGACGAGACCTTTCACGTGTCTGATACAGCTTGTCCCTAACATCCCCAAGAATAACACGGTAGGGTTCATTTGGAGGAACTTTTTTCCAGAACTCTGCATTTTAAGTAACAACAATTAGAACTGAACCAATGATACAAATCAATTGAACAAAATATTGTAGAAACAATCATCTCCGAGTCACATAAACCATCGCATGGCATTGAAAATCAAGTCAGAGAATCGTATTTAGTTTTTGTTTCCGTAAAGTCTAAATACATTCTTTAAGCGTGCTTTAAAACTTTCTGAAGTATACCTATGTAGTGTTTAGCATCTCTCCTTGAGGATCTATGAAGTTCTTCTGCACGAACACGAAGCTCGTCACTGCAACGCCACATGGATAACTGAAAAGAGACATCAATACGGATTAACCTAAACTGGATTGTTTAAATAAAGCTCCTTTGAATGTGTTAGATAATACAAGCTAATACCTCAAACATCAGATCCTCGATTTGGGAATAGTACAAATTGCTAGCCATCATTCTAGCCAACAAGCAAACATCCCTTGTGACCTCAGGGGTTACCCTCGGATTGCCTGCATTATGAATCAAGAAAAATTGAAACACCTGAGAAGATATTTGAGCACCACCAATTTTCAACAATTAACAGAAAGAACTTCTGCACTACAAGGTACAATCATTTTTATTCAGTTATTCAAGTGGAATGTACCATCACGATCACCACCCATCCATGAGGAAAACTGAATAAGTGGTGCATTATAGGGAACACGTTCATTAATTCCAATGTTCTTCAAGCTGTGTCAACTCGCCGCAAAAATTTGGGGACACCCTTCCATACTGTTTCATGGAAGTAACTCATTCCTGCCCTCATCTCATCTTGAGGAGTTGGAGGGGTCCTTCGAATCTCATCTGTACGAAATGCAGCTTGAATCTACATGGAAAAGGAATCAAAACAAATCAATGAGAACAAGTGTTTTTTCATTGCAAGACAATAGCAAATTTATTTATCGATAAACATATCATGACACAGTGATATACCTCACGCTGGAGAGCTTCATCAAGCTCCTGCTTATCATCTGGAGTAATATCTTTAGCATACAGCTGAGCTAAACAATCCCTTATCCTGGACACAACGAAAAAACACGGGTTTTAAATTTGAAATTGCTTCATTCTGTACTTATTGATATGAAACGAGAAGGACTTCAAACCTTCCATGCTTCTGAAGTAAAGATCGACGGACTGATTGGGTGGGATGAGCAGTGAAGACCAGATCCACAGTCTGGTTCTTAAGTGCATCAAAAACCTCCTCGGGAGACTTCTTGAGATCATACACAAGTCTCTTGAGAGTTTCTTCGATGTCCGATTCAGTTGTTGCAGAGTTCTCATCGATGAAATCACCTTTCTTCAACTTGATCCTTCGACGGTAAGCAATCTGAACTTCCTCAGCCAGGTTAGCCAAGTTAAGCATGTGGGAGAAAGCCTTGGCTATAACAATGGAATCCCCCGGATCCAAACTCGTCAAAACATTTCCCAGCTCCTCGAGTTTCTTGGGGTCATTCCTCCCTTCATACTCAGCAGACAGTTCATAACATTCTTGAACCTAAACAAATCAACCACAAAAAAGGAAAAGAAAATACAATTTATCACTGTAAATTACTACACAAATTTCAGGATCAATCAATTTATTTAGCATCTTCAGCCTCGCAAGCCAATGTACGATCATTGATAACAAAGTAGCATAATGTCTTTTTAAGCAGAAAAACAGTACAACAATAAGCATTAATTTTCAACATCAAACTATGCTTTATTCGAAACAAAATGCCAGTCCTTCACCATTAAAACTTGAAACAAAGCCATGGAAGCAAACGATCAAAAACCAAATCAGAAACAAAGTGAAAAATGGAGAATGGAATACCGTTTCCCTAAGATCCTCGCCATGCAAGTCTTGAAGTATATCGAGAAACCGATCCAAAAGCAAAGCATCATACTCCACCAATTTATCATC